CGCTCTGAGCGCTGCACTGCAGTGCACCATGCGATACCCTGCTGCACTGCATTGCACTGCAACCTCCCCACTCCCCTTTCCTCCAAGGGCAGCCCACCCCAAGAACTGCGTTGCACTGCGCTACCCTCTCCCCATCCTCCTCCAGCACCTCTGGGCAGCCCCGCTCCCAGCACTGCCTCCCTGCTCTTCCTCCTCCTCCTCTTCCTCCCGCTCACCTCGTCGGGGCCGCCCGGCTCCTCAGCGCTCCGGCCCAGGGTGGCTTCTCCGGGCGGGTGCTGGGGCAGGGAGTACATCCAGGCCCAGAGGTAGCCGGAGGCGACGGGCAGCAGCGCGGCCTCCAGGCACATGGCTGGGGACATGGTGGCAGCGGGCGCTGGGTGCCCTGGCCCTGCGCACGGCGCTTATGTAGCCCCCGGCCTATCTTGGCACCCGCTGCTCAAACTGTTTGTGCAGCTAATGGGGAAGGAGGCGCGATCCGGGGTTAAGGGATTTGCATAATTGCCAGCCTGGAGCCAAACAGCCCCGAAGCAAACAGCCCCCCGGAGCTGTCTGGATGCAGCGCCCAGAGCCCTCCGGACCAGCAGGGCAGTCCCCAGAGCACCAGGCTCTGCAAGACCCCCTGGCTCCCAGCGTTGTCCCTGCTCCGGGATGGCTGCTGGGGACAGGGAGCAGCTGTCCTTTCCCAGGAAGGGCAGCAGGGATGCAGTGGGTGCACCGCAGCCCCCCAGCCTCCCCCTTCTTCCTGCACACACTCATCTCCGGGGGTGACGGGCTTTGCACCTTCGCTAACGGCTTCGCAAACGACCTGTTTGCCCCGTTATCTCCGTGCTGCGGCTCCAGGTAAACGTGCCAACACCCCCCTGGAGCGGCAGCCCGGACACAGCCGGGGGAGCGGGATGGGGAGAGGATCCCGATTCCCCCCCAGACCTCCCCAATCCACTCCATGGCCAAGAGCCACCGTGGGACTCGCTGCTGCCAGTGCCACCGGACGGCCGATTTCTCGCCCCAGGGCAGGCGGCTGGCCAGGACGCCTGGGCCCCTGCTCTCTTGGCCGCGTTTGTGGAGCAGCTTAGAGAGCAAATATTGACCGTGCTCCCGCGCACAATCCCCCATCCGCCTCCCGCTGCGGCTCATCCCGGTGTCGCCGTCTGTGCCTAATCCCAGTCCTGCGCTTGGCTGCGGGGACCCCGATGGTCCCATGGCCACCCCGGCCCTGCGAGCCCCAGGGGAAGCTGCTCTGCAGGAACCCACGTGTTTTTCTCCTTCCCCTTCTCCACCTGGGCCAGTTTTGCCCCTGGCCAGGCCGTGTCTCAGCCTGGGGGTGGGCAAGGATGGGGGTCCGGGGTGGGGGGGTGCCGGCTGCAGGATGTGCAGGCACCGCATGTGCATGCACAGGGCGGTGCATAGTGTGTGTGTGTGTGCGTTTCTCATGCATGTGTTGTGCATGTGTGCATGTGCATACTGTGCATGTGTTGTCTGCAGCAAACTGTGCATGTGCATACCGTGCACGTGTTGTCTGCAGCAGCCCCACGGTGCACCCCCAGCCTGGCAGTGTCCCAGCGCACATGGCACATCCCAAGCTTCCCAGGAGGTTTTCCAGGGAATTTTCCACGGAGTGGGGGTATAGCTCAGTGGTAGAGCATTTGACTGCAGATCAAGAGGTCCCCGGTTCAAATCCGGGTGCCCCCTTTTTTTTTTTTCGTGCCCCCGTTTTGAGGGTTGGGGCTTTTTTACTTTGCCCGTCTTGCTCCCCGTGCCCAGATCCCGCTGTTCTCCGCTCACTCCGTGGCCCCGCTGCCTCCACCTGCTCCCACCGCCGCTCCCAGCACCAGAGACGTTTCCCCTTTGCAGTGTGGAGGAGGAGGGAGCTGCAGGGAGCCAGAGCAGCTCCCAGAGCTGGTGGCAGTGGGGACAGAGGGGTCCCCCATTCCGCTTTCTGCTCCTCCCTTCTCAGCGCAGCCAAAAGGGCCCAACCCTGGCTGGAAGTTGGGGGGGGGGGCACAGCCT